AAAAAAAAAAAAAAAAAAAAAAAAAAAAAAAAAAAAAAAAAAGGGGAGGGGGAGGTTCAGTGTGGGTTTAAAGTTTATTTCTTTTTTACTGCATCATATTTTCAACATCAACACTAGTGACTCACGTTAAAAGAAAATAGAAGATAAAAAATAGAAGATAAATTGTACCTGTTTGGTCTTCATGGAGAAAGAAAGGAAAAAAAGAAAATAACATAACTATTTAAGTAGACTTTTTGTTAGAAAGTCAGAAAGTTAGAAAGTCAGAAATTCACTCCTTGCATTTAATAGTGCTTGGGGATGAATTTAGTAAATGGATTTACATGTAGCACGGCATGCTTTTTATGTAGGATGTATATCAAACTTTGAATATGTGTGACTGAAGAACATTTTTGTTCTCAACAAGCATTTTCAGCCAGACCACACTATATGAAGATGTGCACACAGAAATTTTTTCCTAGTATCATTAATCATTTGAAAAGTCTCATAGATGAACAGAAGAGGGAGATGAACTCTGATCACTGTTTTTCATTAGTCTACAGTAGAAGTCATGGCATGCAGCTTTGCAGATGTATATTACTTTTTATTTTAAAATCAATAATAGAGAACCCTGTTACAGTGTAAAGAATACAGATCCCTGAAGCGTGCTCTCAGATCTTAGATCAGCCCCAAATAATCATTTCAGATGACAAAGGAAAATGTGCATATTCTGATTATCATTTGTGTGCAATGCTTGTGAAGACTATTGTGTTGCCTGCTCTGAGGTACGTATAGTTGAGGAATAAAGCTGTATTACTAACTAAATTACCTAAATAAGTTGCATAACTCCAGCACTTCTGAACTTAAAAAAAAAAAAAAAAAAAGTATAGGGAGGCTTTTCTTTTTTCCATTCCAGGCTATGTTCCAGGCTAGAAGCTAAGTGTTAGTCTCCCCCAGCATGTTTACTGACTGTCAAAGCAAATTCTTCTCATTGAGATATGCCATTTGAAGTTTTTCCCAGGGATAGTAATCTCAGATTAATTAAGAGTTGTCAAGGTCTGAAGTGACTAAACTCTACAAAATGCTTTACACCAAGTGGTATGACATATAATATAACAGAAGCATCCCATTTACTGAATTGGTGCCTGTTTTCTATACTTGGCAGGAAGCAGGCATAATAGACTTACATTTATGTGATATTACCATTATAATCTTTTTGTGATTAATGGAGCAAACAATGTGCTGGAGTAGGAGAGAGAACATGAGTTTCTGTGAACTAGAAAGTGTATTCAGCAGTGCTGTCTCTGTTGAGCTGGTCCTTATGCTTCTTTTAACACAAATAAATAAATTAAAATCACTTACTTCTGCAGCAGGCATTTGTGCTTGCAATGGTCTTTGTTTCCCTAGCTGCCTTCTGCACTCTTTGTTTTAGACCTTGCTTCTGTTAACAGACTGTTTAGCAAAGTCATCTACTCTTAGGCTTACTAAGTAAGACTTACTTAGTTTAAGTGAAAATGAGCAAATCTAAACATTGTGAAAATTGGATTGACTTTGCATCTCTGATTTCATGACCTATGTTTTTTCTGGTGAATTTCTCCCTGCATTATACTGTTGCTGTATACATTAAGCAAGGCTAGATTGTATAGTCTATAAACATTAAACAGGAATATAATAAAATTACATTAATTTGGATCAAAATTCCATTTTACTCACATACTTGAATAATATAGACCACAAAAATTGTCTGGAAGTACTTAGTAAATACTGTGCGTATTGAAGTTTATTTACTAATGGGTTGCTTTCCAAAAGTATGTTCTAAGATGAACGGAAATTAAATTTGATCCAGAAGTTGAGAAGTCACTGAGTGAGTTTCATTGTCCTGTGTTATCCAGGTCAGATTTAGATGATCATAAAGATTTCTTCTGCGCTCACTGGAAAGCCAGGAGTCTAGAAACTGTGCCAACAAACTTTTGGCAGTTGAAGTCAGTTCATACTCTGGCCATCAGGGCAGGAGAAATATAGGCCATGGTCTCTGGAGGTTACAAGCCAAGACAAACGAAAAACAATAACAACAACCACCAAAAAATAAACCCTTCCACCTTCTTTTATACAAAACTGAAAGGTGTAAAATGAATCCTGAAAATTTTCCAACCATTGGAAATTAGTTTAAAGAGATATCTGTAACTTAATATTGAGACAACAGTATGGATGATATTTAGAGAAATATAATGGAGGAACACTTATTTTTTGAGATTGAAAAATACTTTTTTCTCTTTTTTTTTTTTTTTTTTCCCCTCTAAAGCCTCTTTCTATAAAGCCTTTCTATGATGCTGCCAAAATAAGAGAGACCATAACTTATCTTTTCACATGTGGGTGCCCAGAATCTTTTCATTTCTCCAGCATAACTTGATCAGATATTTTCCAGTAGACCTTCTGTAAGTGCATGCAGTGTGGAGCAGAATTAATGTGTCTGGCCTTGAGATACTCAATATAAGAAACTGTTATAAAATTCCTCATTTCATGAAGACTGTCATGCAGCACAGGGTAGCATGTGTATACATTAAAGTTTCCAGAATTACAGGAAATAAAACAAGCACCAGTACCTCATTTGGTTTCTTTTAAAGTATATTTAAAGTGCCAGTAAAAGCAAATCTACATTTTGAAGATATGCCTGGAACAGATCTGTATGCAGTGTTCTGTATAACAAATTTCAGTTAATTCTCATTGTACATATGTAATGAAATATGAATGTGCCAATTTAGAAACTTAACATTATTTTCTTTTTTCTTCCCCTTCTCCCCTTTCCCTTACAGGTTACTGAAAATGATATTGTAATGGCAGAAAGGCTCTTTGGCATTCTGGCATATGTAGCATCTTCTGAGTTGCCACATTATCGCATGCTTTCATTATTTGGAGAATCTAGGTAAAATGCAATGAACGGAACTGGAATTTGTCCAGAACGTATTGTTTAATACTTTTGCACACTGTTGTGATAAATTCCTTCTAGGTAAAAAGATAAAAGTTTCACAAATAACATCTTAGGAAGTTACGTTCTCTGCTTATTGCAGAACTATTAGCATCTGCTGATTTATGTAGCCAGAAGTTTTTACAGAAGCTGTATGAAGTCTGATGAGTAAGATTAAAAGGCAAATGCACACAAATGTACTGCTTGTTTAATTCTCCAGTTGTACTGCTATTGGTGAAGATTTATGGACTTTCAGAATTTTTTTAGTGGGTATTTTATAGTGGGTGACTACAACAGTTAACAGATTTAAGAGTTGGTGCTGTAAGAAAAAAGGGGCTTAAAAAAACTGGTTTTAGTCTTCTGTAGATACATACTTAATAAAAGTTTAAGCTGCAAGACTTCCTAGTTAGGAGATATGTTGTGATATATGTCAAAAAGTCAATTGTATAGAAGCAAATTAATGGAGGAATATCTAGAGTCATGTATTTTGAGTAACTTGAGGATGCAATAAACTTGAAAGCTCATAAAGTACATGTTCAAAGGGAGAAAAGAAAAAAACTCACAATCACTAGAAACATCTGTGCTTAAAAAAAAAAATAGTTTCCAGTAATTAAAACTGTAAATCTCTTTATTATCTTTTCACAGGAGGAAGCAATTCCATTATCTGCTGGAGGGAAAGGGAAAGAAATCTGGGATTGGGAGTGAGGAAAGTAGTGATAACAGAAGAAATGGAGGGGAAAGCACAACTCGAGCAACGCTGAGTTACACAACAAAGGACTTTCATATGGAAAAGCTTGAGGTAAGTATATCATTATGAAATACTTCCATCCTCTATTATATAACCTTAGACGACTACTACTGGAATTTGTCTGTATATCATGTTTCATTTGTGCTATTGAGAATGGTGGTTTTAAAATATCACTGCTTACCATATTTACATGTATGATCAAACATTTCACTGGTAATGGTCAGTTTCTGTATTTAGTGAAGTGGTTCCTAAACAGTGCCACGGTCTCAGAAATACATCCTCAATTACAAGCCTTATGTTCATAAAAAAATGTACCTGCATTCATAAAATATAAAAAGTGTGCAGGTTTTTTTGTAAAGAAGAACATACAGTGCATGTGTTAGCATTTTCTAATGGAATTAGAAAGTCAGAAAGTATATCCCAAAATTATTTGGTTAAGAACACCTTCAGACAAGATTTGAGATAATGCAGGCCATAGTAATAAAGAACTTCTTCCTAGCTTTTAAATGAGCTACAGAAAAATAGATACATGGGAAATTAATTAGGTTTAATTATTAATAAAATTGCAAGCTGGCTTGTTTCAGACAAGTGCATCAGTCACGCTTGTTTTAGTTTGCATTTCTGATCTGCTAACTCTTTTACTTGGGCAGAGGGAAATTGTTCCCAGGGAGAACATGCTTCTTTCAGCCACCATCTCCTTTCTAAGCAATCATCATGAGTTCTGGCTGTATGCACCCTGCTTCCCACATTTGTTTCATTATTTGCTTTTTGATTATGTGGAAATATATAAATCCTCTAGTGCAAGGAATTAAATCAGGTTTGGTAAACACTGAATTCAGTTATTGTATTGTGGTGTTGTTATCCCAGATCCATAGCATAAAAAAAGAGACAGTTACTGCATGTGTGAAGAGATTAAATTAAGAAAACATTTTCATTTTAAAAGCTGTGATAGTAGCTCGTAAAACTCTGAATGGCAGAGTAAGACAGTGAGTCATTCCTCTTGTCCCTTACTGTGGAAGAAGCAATATAATAAAATAGGCTTGGTATTTGTACAGTCCATATGTGTAGTTTTCTCCTCCCAGTGCAGCAATTGGTACCTTGTCCTTTGGTAAACATAGTGTCATGTTTATGTCTTTATATGTTATGGCAGCAGATATTACAGGATGTCTCAAGAGAAGAGTAGGATAAAGAGCCCAATTCTACTTCCCCATCAGCAGTAAACTAACATAATAAATGTGATTGAATAAGTTTATTGCAAAAGATGACAGTCTGAGTCCTTGATTAATAATAAGGTTTATTAGATTAAACAGCTGGAAAGTATTTTCTCTGCTTTATCATTTATTTTAGAAAACTTCTCTTTTGATGGCCTGAAGCATGACCTAACATTTTTAACAATGCCATCAATCAAACTAGTTAGATATTTAGCACCAATATAACTTATTGTTCAAAGCCTATTGTGGCATTTTATAGAAACTTTGCAGAAATAGGGAGTAATACAGTTTGAGTGACCAAAATGCAGAGCTAGTAGTTGCACAAAGTGCAGTTATTTTTTTATTAGTATTTTTTTTTTAAAGGTTCAGGTTACTTCAGCATCTAATGTAGTACATGTTAGGAACCATGCCTTTGCCAGAGTCCATCAGGAAACCTGTGGAAAGGATGCATACTGGCATATTTTTCTGTGACAGTATGCTTAGTTCTTGTTATGGCAGAGAGATAAACATATACTTTCCAACTGTTGTACTGTAACCATGAAAAGCTGTGAAGGGAAGGGAGAGAAGGAGGGAAAGTAGTCTGGTGCTTAATACTTTCTGTAAATATTCACTGCTATGCCAGAAGTCAACAAAAATCATAATGCTGTTAAAAGCTACTTACATGACTACTCAAAGTGGATATCAGATAAACTACTTAATGAATATAATATGAATATTATGAATACAGTAATGTTCTGTGGCCACACTCATAAAAGCTTGATGTAGACCCTGAACCATGCAGCTTAAAACTAACAGAAAAAAGTGTGCAATGGCCTCTGCCTGCTAATTGCTATGTTCTTTAATTAATCAAGTTTTTCTGGCTGTTTTTTAGGGTTTGCTCTTCTTTGAACTTTTTTTTCCTTTGTCTTATACAATGTGTAATGGTTCTCCCATGCAGGAAATCAAGGAAAGAAAAACATTTTGCCAGACATACGTCGAGAACTTAGTGAAAGAAGCAGCTGACATCAATATGAAAAATGAGTCGTTGCAGAAGCTCTGGCCTCAAATGTTCATTGAGCTTGTCAGAGATGCAGTGATAGAAATACGCAATAAAAATTCCTACATGAAACTTTGCTTACAGCGGATCACTGATCAAAAACAGTAGAGTCAAGGCTTGTTGGTTTCAGTATTCTACAATGGTTTACAAACTTAAAACAATAGAATATAAAATTACCATCACTATGGTATACTTCACCCACCCCCCCCAAAGGGATGCCTTTAAATCTTGATAGTTTTGAAATAAAACTTCACTTGCATACTGCTTTAACAATGCTTCTTTGCCTAAAGTGATGAGATAGCATAGAAGTAACTTGGTGATTGTCATGTTTACTAAGTTTTTCTTTATTTCTGCTACCCTTGGTTCTGTACAGCTACAACATCCATTTTTAAAGAACAAATTTACACTCTGCTTGCCTTATTTTTTTTATTGAATATTTTTCAGTTGTCACCTTTTCAACTGTTTGCTGCTGTCTAAAAAAAATCAGGAATAGTAGCTAATTTTTTTTTTTATGAGCAAAAGCTAATAAATTATTTTTACACCCTGAACTTGATGAGGACATTATTATTGTTGTTCAATTTGTGAGATTATAGAACTTTCACGTCAGTGCCATCACAGTGCTCAGTATATCAGCATTTAATGAGCCTAATTCGCAACTGGTCAAATTGCCCAAACTTGATTTCAAGTGTTTTTTATTAATTTCATTTGTATTAGTTTGTGTGAATTACTATAGGTAAAATAAGAATTTGAGGTATATTCGCTTAAGCTTTATTTTTGTTCTGTTAAAATATATTAATACTATAATTTCTTCTGTTTCTTAATTACTAAATTATTTATTTTTGAGGTTTGCCAAAGTCAAATGAGCTAAAATGCATGCATTACATTTGGTGGGGAAGCTAATGACTACTGTTAAGTTGTAATTAATTTCTGTGACTGTGTGAACAAATTGATATTTGTTATCAATAAAAATAAATTCTTTTGCCCTTCACAGATACTGTAAAGAATACTGTGTGCAAAGAAAAGACTCAATGCTACATGAAGAGTTGGGACACAACTTTTGCCCCCAAATCAACTGTGAATGGGTAGAAAAAACACATTCCATAGTACAGTAACTTCCACTGTAAACACCTTGCCAGCTTCTGCCCAGAAATTGAATTTAGGAACTGTTAGCAAGTCCAGCTGATTTCCATGGCTAGTGTTCATAGACAGGTAGAAAGTTGTGCCATTTAAACTTAATTTTATAGTTCATTGTATCTTAACTAAAACAGTGCAGAACCTTTGTTCATTCTTTTACTGAATTCAAAGTGATCTTATTTTACTTAAGCTCATTTATAAAAAAGAAATGTTGATAGTCAAAGAAAATTCCTGCAAGGGTTTCTATGGCTCAAAACTAAATTTATTTTTAAGCTACCTGGACAAGACTCTCTGGCAAAACAGAGATGCCAATACAGTTTTGTAAGTTTCTGTGCTTTGAATATAGTCTTGAATGAGTAGCAGGAGTCAGGTGGTAATAGGTATTTTGGAATATATAGACTACTTGCATTTACATCAGGCTGATGCATCTCACTTGTCAGAATCCACTGTCAGAGCATGTTACAGGTTAGCAATTGCATGCATTCTGTTAAACATAATTTTCAATTTGATTTATGTTATATGGTAGTTGCTTTTTGGTCTATAGAATTTAATGGAGGTTAAGTCACTTAAATTCTAAGGAAATGTTAAAAGTCATGAAGAAACTGCTCCAGCAGTGGGTAGAATTTAATAGAAACAATCACCTCTACAGGCTTTTTGAACTGCTTCCTGGAATTTATAGTAAGATTAGCGTATTTGATAGGATTCTTTTGTTCTTTCCATTGGAAAATTGCACTGTCAAGTTTTATGGTGCATTTTATTAAGGGAACAAATTAAGAACCCACAAAATGTAAGAGAGGGAGAGTTTACATTATAGAAATAGTATAGAAATGATCATGCAGAAGTTCTTTGTATCCATCAGTTCATTTACATCATTTCTGAGCAAAGGGGGTGGGTGGGGCAATTCCAGCTTCTGCATGGAGACAGAAACCTCAGCAGCTGTGTGAAAGTGCAGAACTCTCCTGATGATGTAGCTGGAGCAGATGGGCCCCTTTTGAATCACATTCAGCAGTAGTAAAAGACTGGAAAAAAATGTCTTGAGAAGGGTGGATTGGTCTAGAGGAACAGGAAGTTCTCCATGAGAAAATCCATAGAAAAACCAGAATTTCTGATACTGAGGCTTTAGAAGCATAATCCTGATTGGAGGCTTTAAGGTAGGGTCTTAAAAAAACTAAGTGAAATGAATTAGAGGGTATTGACTGTGAGTTGTTGAAACATCACCTTAAAATGCTTTCTATTCCCAGTGGTCTGTAAGTGCTGCCAGTTTGGACTTTTTTCACTAATAGCAGCTGTTTGGTAACAGGATTGCTAAATGACTGAAGCGAGGGTAGCTAGGCAGCTATTGTAAGTGAAGAAAAGGTTAATGTTGGGCAGCATACATTTTCTTCACATAAAACCAGTGGGAACAAAAAGCCTTACATTTTACTAATTCTTTTTAGGAAACAATTGAATGATGGACTAAAGAGATGTTAGACTTAAGAGTACATAGAATTTTAAGCAGCCAGGTGATCCTAAAATTGTTAGCCTGCTATATGCTGTCTATGTGTTTATCAAAATTATTTGTCAATTCATACAGACTTGTGAGTTACATTACTGTAGTTACTTACTAAGGTTGTTCTGAGTAGCTAAAAATTTGAAGATGGTATAAGCAACAAATTCTTAGATGTTCTGAAACTTAAGTACCACATATATAAACTTTTTATGGGATAAATTGAGGAGTTAAAATAACCACTGATTTTGAAGCTGGGACCTTTTAAGAGAACCTTCCAGACTGAATGTAGTTATTTTTTCTGCTTTAAAAGCCTTTACATGCTGCATAAAACTGAATTTTGATATTGCTAATATTTCTTTGATATCCCATCCAAAATGGATTGTTGTGATCCTCTCATGTAGCCTGACTTTCTTTACAGAACAGGATCTATTACTGTAAAAATTCCGTATGTTAACTAGAAATCATCTTAAGGGTTAAAAAGATACTGGTTTAACTTTTAAGTCTTTTGAAAACTTTTTTTCCTTTTTTTTTTTTTTTGAATCTTTATACAGTTTCCTTATTTTCTGAGACAAATTTCTTCAGTGTCCAGACAAGGCCAGATAATGATGTATCTTATTTTATTTCAATGTCAGTTTATCATGCATGAAGGCCCCATTATGTCATGCAAAGTCACTGTTTATTACGCAACCAAAAATTGATCTTGAGTAAGGAGACTGATGAAGAGCTGCATCTCATACACTCCTTTTGATATAGGATCTGAAAAAGTAATAGAGCTGCAAATATGTCGCCACAGTGAAACAAAGGGAGAAATTATTCACTTGATGTAAACCAAAAGCTGATCCTGTCAGTTTTGAGGAAAAAAAGATACTGGGAAGAGGTTTTAACTAGGCATTGTAAAGTAAGTACTGCCTGGGACCAAGTGTTAGATCTCATTCTGGAAATAGGTGAAAACTCTGTTTTCTGGTCTGTGTAGATTGGTGATACAAAAGTGAAATAACTTGTTCAATGCTACAGACAGTCATACTTTTATTATGTAAACTATTTATAATAATAATGATAATAACAATAATAATAAAGGTTAACCTATTAAAACACTGTCCATCTGCAGATTGTTAGGCCATTGCACAGACAGTAGTGAGTCCACAATCTACAGACACATTCTGCAAACTCAGGGCAAGTAACTACTTTTTGTTTTGTCAGAGCTGTAGACTATAAAATTGACACTGATGCTTTCAGTTGCTACTTTTTTATCATAGTGACACATCATGATGAACTCCTTTTTTGTTAGATGGTTTATTTAAAGCAGAGGCAAATACTCGCTATTTCATATTATTAAGCAACATTCACAAAGATGTGATTTAGATTGGGAGGTCAGTGTGCATATTCAAAATCACAATAACAGCTATTTGTTTTGATAGGGAAAACAGACTACTTGACTGTGTTTCTGTTCCCACATCACAAACTCTGCTTCATCCAGTTTCAGTGAAATTATTTTTTTCTTCAGTTTATGTTGGATGCATCAGTCTTTTGGGGATTTGTAAGACTTGTTTTGTTACACATGTGTAGGACTAGGAGAGGGAAAAGAGGATACTAGCTATCACTTTGTTCTATGGTGTAATAAAGTTGCTTTTATTCAAAAAGTTAATATAAACTGCTCTTTTGCATGCTAAAAAGTAGAGAATGTAGGCTACACAGACTAAACAATCTTACTAATTGGTATCTGCATACACACATCACCTCAGAGCTGGATTTTCCTGAGCGTGAGCTAAAATAAATTGAATCTAAGGGGCTGTTTATACAACCCAAGTATCTAATTTTGTTGGCTAGCTTTGCTAGGCTTCTGCCCTCGGGGGAAAAAAGATAAGCTCATCTGGAGGAACTCTTGATTCTGTTTACTGTGGTGAAAACAGCATTTCTTTACAAGCTTTGTATTGGACCTCATATGCCATACTTCTGTACAGATGGGGTGGACAGATGCTTCTGCTTATTGTATCAAATGTCAGAAAGCCCTGGCGAAAAATCAAGGCGACTTAATGGGTGAAAAACAGTTTCTTCAAGGTCTGAGTTACTTGGTTTTGGTGAGTTTTTTTCGTTATAGATAGAAGTATTGCAAGGAGAAACATACTTGACTGATAGAAGTACACTGAGTGAAAAAAAAAAAAAAATAGAAAACTGCAGGTTATAGTATTTATACCAAATCCAGCGTTAGAAGTATCCAGCATCCCCAAGAAATGTGTTTGTACAAGACAAGCCTATATTCCTTACTCATGACAACGTTGACTTGAGGAGGCCTTTATATGTAACTTTTATCCATTTTTTTGAAAATACAAACTGATGGCTTCATGGTTGCTCTGGACTTTGTATTGCTACAGTATAATATCATATAAGCAAGACAGCAGGATCGGTTTTAACACTAAGACACCATTACAAAATAATGTCATCAAGACACCAAGATTGGGATTTCTTGGTGCTGTAATCTGTTCGCTAACAGGATGACAATGCTTAATCCCACCTTCTGTGGCAGTCTTCCTAATTAGGCAGCTACTTCTGTATTAAGGGAAATCTTGAGAGTGATCTTTCTTACGACATAGTACGTGACATCTAGTATATTGCTGCATCTGTAACCAGGATGCTTTCTAGTTTCAGACAAACTGTTCCTTTCACTTTTGTTTAACTAATTTAACTAATACCAAAGGTTAAATGCTGCTATTAGCAGTGCTTCGTGTTACACCTAACAAATCTGGAACTTTACATGAACACCGAGTAGATCTTAAACAAGCTCATTCTTTCTGGAACACTAGACATGTATAACATAAACAGCACTAACCTTTTCAAAGCAGTGAGAATGATACATTTCAAGAATCAAGGTAAGGTAAGTCCTTTCTGCATCTATTATTGAGCACTTCACACTTAAGCACAGGAGGAAATAGCCTGGAATGACATACGGTTTCCATGTATTTATAATATATCATTAGACAAGAGATTGTGAAGTTAATTCAAACTACAGTGGTGAAGAAATTGTGAATGTGTTTGTATTACATCCTCACGTAGTCTAGATGTCTTGGTTATGCAAGTAATGGTGGTATTAATGTAATTCACACTCAGTGAAAGAAATCATAGGGGTATGTAGAGAACCTGTGACTTTCACAGCAATGAAAAATGCTGAGTTCATTGATTAGCTATTATATTACACTTAGAAATTATGCTATGAGACAGTATGTACTGTGATTTGTGTTCTGTGTGGATGTGTAGCACATTTGCTTGCCTGTTAACATTAGGCGTCAATGATCCATGTTTTCTAATAAAATTAGTAATTCTGAAGATTGATGAAAGAAACCAAGAGCACAGAGTACATCTTGCTTTCAGTTTCTACCTCAGAACGGACAATAGAATATATTAAGCTTCATGCAGCTGTCATCCTGGGTCAAGTATGTATGTTAAAGCTCCATTTGACTACAAAGTCAGTTGACTACAGAGCTTTTGCATAAGTATGCAAACACAATCCTCTAGGGAAATGTTACTTAGATTCTAAAGAGATGTTAGTAACTGTAATAAAATGTAAACATTTAGCTTTTTGTAATCCAGAAAATGTGAACTGGCTTGTCAGTTTGGAGAAGAACTGGGTAAATCTTAAAGGGAAGGATACAGAGTGAATAGTGAAGAGAACATTTATTACAGTGATTTTGCATTCTTCTGGAGACTGCATGTGAATGCATGGAAACTGGAATATATAAACCCAGAGCAAAAGACCTGATCACTCCCTAAAAGACATGAGTATGAAGACATGAGCATGAAAACCTCTCTCGGATCATGTAGCAGTTACAACTTGTGTTGCTTTGGTTTTGTTTGTTTTTAAACCACCAACTCACAAACACTAACGCTTTTATGGCAATGCAATGAACAACCAAGAGGCTATATCTGAATTTTCAGCATATCTTTAGAGGTTTTATTTCTTCTGCCTTCAGTATTGATCTAATTGACAGCTGCA